GTCAGTTTTTTGAGGTTACAAGCTGATTAGTTTTTGAAATCGACCGGTAAAGCCGTTTAAAAGTATTCCATAAAAACAGTTGTTCAACATTTTTATTTTTGAGATTCCTAAAAATCTACTTGTCCGAATCAGTTCATATTATCACCAAATCTATTACATATTGAGATCTTTAGAACGCCGTAAACTACATCTCAATCGATCAAGACATTCAAAGGTTATGAAAGTTTATACACACACAAACACATACATACATACATCCGTACGGACGTCCACGTGAAATTAGTCAGAATAGCTTCCTGGGATCCCAAAACATCGAGATCTGATGAAAACTCGTTTTTCTAAAATCGGGGTGAAACCAATAACTTCCATAGCGGATAGTTAAAAATTTATTCTCCTAGCACGATGCAAGGCAGCACGGGTCATCTGAGTTAGAATTGAGTGATGACAACACATTAGTTTTTCAGAATATTAGAATGACACATAAGCTATCTGGCGTGAAGTGGAGTCGTAGGATAATCCACTACACCGTATCATTCCGTGAGGAGTCGTACAAGGCGACAGTGGGAAAACAAAACAGCGTAACAACTATTGCAAATATCTACCTACTTATGAGACAATCTATGGGGAAGGCATAACATGAGCAGTGGTAGTGAAAACAAACTTCCTGACGCCGAACTAGATTTGCGCATTGTTGTCAGAAAATCCCAATAAATTGGATTTGGAAACCGGCACTACAGTACATTATTCAGTCATACATACACCAGTGGATTAAAAAAAACTTGAACGAAATGAGATCGTAGACATAGTATAATTGATCGGGCGACCTTCGTCTATTTTCAAACAATAAATTTAAGTAGAGATCATTATTCATATCACATTATACAATACTAATGTGAAGAAGTGTCGTTAATTTTCCAACTGTCCGACATTAGCAACATTTTCAACCTACAGATCCTTGTTATAGATTTAGAGGTTGTTTTTGACCAAGGTATTGTTTAAGACAAATAAACGAATTTAAAAATGGTGTAATAGATCCAGAATAACCCATATAGCCTAATGGATCAGTAAGCTGAATTGGAAAAGGCTCTCAGAGAACCGACAACCGATGGGGAAGAAAAGTTCTCGAGCGGCAGCTTCGTAAAGCGAAATGTTTGGCGGCTCGCTCCTAGATGGAGTAACGACCTATGAAATACGCAGGCAGTCCATAATGAAGGTGGTACAGGACCGTACTTTATAACAATCTATAGTCAGTAAGTGAGTGAGTAGTGTGTGTACATTTTAGTAAAATATTTTTAGAAAAATCTTTAATTGGGTAGTGATCAAATTCCAGTGCCTACGAGTAAGAATAATAATGTAAATGCTGCTTCTATTCACGTCGAGGTCAGAGATCACCAAACACATCTGAACGTAATACCTTAGTTGATGCAATTATCCTAGAGTTTTTAATTAGGTCAAATCAATGAGGAATTCAACCGCTAGATGTTGTTTTTTCCTGGTAATTCAACGCCGACCTCCACGCCTCCAGCTTTATGGAGATTAAGACGTTTGATAAGGATGTTAATTTATGTACATGTTTTAGGACATTACGATTAACTATTAATGTTCATTTCAAGAACTTCTAGTGGAAACTATTTCTGAATATTTTTGTCATATAAGAACATTTAATTTAGACATGAGATCATAGTCAAAAAGATAAATAAAGACTTCTTGGTTATAAGGTTTTATAATAAACATTGTTATCATTCATGCTTATCTTTGTGATACACACAACATACATTAAAATATGTCAGGGGGTCAAAAAGTATGCAAAAGAATTAAATAAGGGTTAGTTTTTTATATAGAATAAGGGTAACAAGCAATCACACAGTCCACCTGATAGTAAGTGGATGCTATGGCCCATAGACATCTACGACTAAGAATGAAAGTGCAGATGCGTTGTCACCACCGAGGATTAAGATGGAATGCCTCGTTTCCAGTAAAAAGGGTATCTAGTTAACTAATCATACGAAACGCAGTAACATTTAGCCGCTATTTTTAAACAACAATAATATATGTAGCTGAAACATGGCTTGACCACGTGACCAATCTACCAATTATTTTTCGTACAATAAATAATTTTTTATCTATCTATTCTAGGAATTTCGCTTGTTTCGTGAAAGCTGTTTACCCATAAGATTAAAGCAATCTACAATCACGTGGTGGATTGTATTCTCATTTATCATATCCTAATTTAGGTAAAAAAATATTTCTAATGCCGCGACCACACACATGTATGTGACCACATATTCGTGAATACATCGTCACTTCGTACGAAATCGCAACCACTTCGCGTCGCTGTTGGTAAACTCTCGCACATCAAAGCCTTTTATCGCGATGAACTTCACTTGTGAGGCCACATTTTAGGCGGCCGCCTGTCGCACGATGTTGATGCCATATAATATAGAGTGAACGTGACGTCCATCTTGTGTTTAGCATGTGTTTATCGCGATAAACTATTGATAAACTTTACAACGCACAATGTGGCCACAGGTGTGGCCAGGCACCTTCGCCGTACGCCGAAGGCGAAGTTTTATCGCTGGAATTCTATCGCGATGTGTGTGGCCTAGGCATATATAGCTATTAACTTCTATTGGCTTCAATGATGTTTATTAATATACAAAATGCCAAAATATAAAGGTGAAGAAAAATATTTTTGTTGTTGTGTGTGTGTGTGTGTGTGTGTGTGTGTGTGTGCGTGTGTGTGTGTGTGTGTGTGTGTGTGCGTGTGTGTGTGCGTGCGTGCGTGCGTGCGTGCGTGCGTGCGTGCGTGCGTGCGGTGCGTGCGTGCGTGCGTGCGTGCGTGCGTGCGTGCGTGCGTGCGTGCGTGCGTGTATGTGTGTGTGTCCCTAGATACTTTAGATTCCCTTATAGATGGCGCTGTTGTCGAGATCTCTAAATCACCCGTGCGAAGCCGGGGCTGTTCGCTATTAAATAATAAAAGAAAACAAATACACAAAAGAAAAAACGATCGCGATGTCGATAAGCTCTCGCCTGACCTGATTCAAGGGCCTATAAGGCAAATAAAAACAATGATGTCCGCGGAAACCATCGACCATTCAACCGCGGCACGTTGTTTCAGTTCAATGAATTTGTCAAAAAAACTACACAATGATATGAATCAATTCATACAGATCCATAAGTTAAATCTTTATCTAAATACATCCTTCTAAAATTATATTAAAAACAACTTTTTCACAATCGCCTTAAGGGGAAATATAATGTCAAATGGCTTAGCAAGATCCTTCGTTATGCCGAAAATATTGCAGCATTAATTTTGAAATAAATATATGGTAAAGTTGGGGATTAATGTTAAGGATTATGTTAGACGAAAACACGATTTCGTAAAATTTCCCGATAGAAAAAAAATCCAAAGTTACCTCCAAAATAAACAATAAACCGCTGTTATTCATAAAATACTTTAAATAAGATCATGGACCTTTGCATACTAACTGTACTAACTATAAAGCAGTGCTTATGTTATTTACTTTTTTTTAAAATACCATTATTTTCACTGTAAAAAGAAATTACCTAAACTATCGGCGTCTTGAGCTTGATTCCTGTCGCCCGTTAGTATCGCTTAGGCTTTTCAAGGGAGAAGTTGTGTCGCTTACAATCAGAATATACATTACGCAACAGTACGACGTAAAATTAAAATGGGAAATAACCGTGATAAAAATAAGAAGCGGCTGGCTTGGCGTTAAGAAACAGGCATAAATCTGATAAACCTAATGAAATAAGTGTCTAACGACCTTTCTACTTATAGTATTAGTGATTACAAACATATCGGTACATAGCATACGACGCGCGGGGAAGTGGGGGCGAAATTAGAATTTGAGCTGACTTACTCTATCCTCTTAATGGCGTTGTGACTTGTGACTAAGCATTTAGTTGTGGCGCTGTGGGACGCATTTTCGAATCCAATTGGTTTAGCTTATTATTATTATGATACTTTTTGTTTAGTATTCTCTCGTTCCTGTGGTGTTATACCTTTTTCGCGGGCTGTTAGCCAAACGAACTCGTTAAGTGTTTAATCTTTAGACAGCAACTTACGGACTATTCTGCAAGTATTATATCGTCGCCTTAATTCTAATAAAGCGTATCTCAGAAATGACAACTGTTCAGGATGGTCAAAAAACTGTTTTTATCATTATAATTCTTTGAAAACACTGTAAGTGATGTTCTGAACCAACTATCAAAATATACTAGTATATCTTATTTTCACATTGTAATACAATTTGCTTGTCCAAGTAGCTCAATACCTGAGTTACGCTTTATTAGCATGATTAATTTACTGAGATAATGTTTATTAACATAAAAAAAATTAAAGTCCTACCACTGTATTATATTTTTTTTATTTGTCTACAATTAAGATAATTTAGCACTTAGATTAGTAATAATGGCACTTTCATTAAAATTAGGAATCATCAAAAAGTATCAAACAAAAATAAACTTCTATTAAACAATTAAAAAAACAATCAAAAATAAAATTCTTAGTAGGAATTTAAATTAAAAAAAAATGCTAACATCAACTTTAACTCTCACTTATTTAATATATAAAATAATTACTTAATCTTTAATCAGTCGTTGCCTTAGGCAAATTGTCGTAAAAAGAATGACAGTCTGTTGGCAAAATGTGTTTTAGATCTTGGAGGTCTTTCCATTTTCTTGGCTTCAGTGGTATTCTTCCTGTGTACATTGGATTAATTGTGTAGGTACCAGGCTTCCATCTGATGGGCAACTCTTGCAAATCATCCGAAAAATTAAGTTTAAATTGAATTTTTCCATCTGGCTCATATCGCAACTGCCGGATGTCGGTGACAGTTGGGTCACCAGCTTTTCTTCCAAGTCGAATGGAGGTGTATCGTTGCAGTACTGAAAAATCTTTGAAAAAATCATGGGAAAGGTATTTTGCGTCATATTTAGGAATTTTCTTCTTTGCATCTTTAGTAAGCTTAACATACTCATGAGGTAGATTTATGTCGTTTTTTTTTTAGTTTTATCTCAATAACGGAATGTACGGAGTCACACTCCATTTGGGTATGGCCCTTTTCCAAAAATTTTTGTGTGATTACTATGTTTTCTTTCATAGCCAAGTCAAGAAGAGCATTAGCCATGATAGAGTTTCGATTCTGGGCTGTACATCCATCACTAAAAATAACTAGTGGAATAGTTTTAGGAACTTTCTCTTGTATGTAGTCTACTAGACAAGAAGCGAAGTTGGATGCTTGTAGCTCGCCTTCACATTCATGCCACCAATAACAGGTTACTTCGTGAGTTGCTAAGTTGTAAACTGTAAAATTATGACAACAAAGCTTTGTCTTATAATAGACAGCACTAGCTTGAACTTTGGGACAAACCTTCACGCTCTGCAAATCTCCTGTAAGTACCGTAATTTTTCCATCAATAGCCAACTTTTTATCAGCTTCTTTTTCTAGTCTTGCAGCCTTTTTCTTCTCAATATGTTTTTTGTAAACCTCTTCTGTCACGTTCATAACCGCAGCAAACATCACACCTATCCTTCTTTGGCTTGGTAATGCTTAAGATCAGTTCATAACTTGTTAAAAAAAAAACAAGCTGATATTGGTTTTACCTTATCGCTTGCGCATTTTTCCTTGTAAATGTTGTATACATGGCTTTTACTTTCGAATACTGGTTCAAGATATAGTTTCGTTGGTGTACTTCTACAGTAATGTGAGGGTAGCTTAGGTATTTCTTCAAAAAACTTTAGCAGATGTTCAGCTTGACTGATTCCACTGGAGGTTGGTGTCTCAGTAGATCTTTTTTTGCCTCTGTTGCTTTTTTGCTTTGTAGTCTCAGTTAATGAGATACCCGACTTTGCTTCTGAAATCCAGGTAAGAACCATGCGTTCTCTGATTCCTAAAGTATTCAGAAACATTTTTTGCAGACTTGGTTTGTTTCCTCATTCAGCTTTAGATAGTATACATAGCTTTGTTGTCTTTTATGTGAATCAACTGTCTTTTGTTTGATTGGGATCCTGTCTATCATTGAAGAAACAAAACTTTTCTTCCCTGACCAATCGAGCTCCTTCCAAAAGTTATCAAAAATAAATTGTCTGTCATGCTCTCCGAACTCGGCGCAAAACCGCTTGGCGCTATTTTTGCAGAAGTTAGAGTCACATGTTGGACCCATCTGCCTTTTACTTCTTTGTATACCTGTCGTAACCTGTTTTTCCTTTCTGGAATATCCTGAATAACTTTCTCCCCGCATTCTCTTTTCTTTCGTTATATTTCTTTGCCATTCTGTACAAGCAGCATGTTTTATGCGTTTGGGCTTGTTCTCTGGTCCTTCATTGTCAATTGTTTCAAGTCCAGATTCGTCCAATTCTACAACTCCAATTGTTTGACTATCATTGGTAGTAAAATGCGTGATTTCCAATTCATTGACACCTTCCGAAGCTTCGCATACCTTCATCAATCCCGGTAACAGAAAATGTGTCTACAAATTCAATTTCAGGACCATTTTCAGTAGCAACACTAAGTAATGAACCCAAGTTCGACGCTTGTACATCAACTTCTAAAGGGGATTCTTTTGGGCACTTAAAGGAAGGATCAGATTCGGCTGCTATATTAATCGCATGAAGGAGTTCGTTGTCTGGTTTGTATACTAAAATGTTCTCTAAAATTTGTATCCGGCTCTGATGTTTTTTCTTAGGATTCGTTACTTTTATTCCATTCTCTGCTAATATTTGAAGGATTTCCTGTTCCTCATCATCTAACTGCAACAAATCCATTTTGATGATATCTAAAAGCAATAACAAAAATCCATGTGAATAGGTCGTATTTCAAAGGCAAACTATAAAATTTAAATTCGAATAGGTCGTATTTCAAAAGGCACTTTTAAACTCGTAATTATTATATTATAAGTGGTTTTCCACAAATGAAGTTTGTTTTAAAACAGTAAACAAATGTCAAATAACAAAATAAAAACGATTTCATACCTTGGCAGCTTCTAAAAACAATCACACATCACTTAAATCGCAGAGCAACCTGCGCGATGTCGACAAACTATGGTGACTCAATGAGTTAATGCATATTCGCAGAAAGATCGAGCGATCCGAGATACGTCGCATTACGTCAAGTCTTTTATCTCACTCTTTTTCATACAAACTTTGCAAAGTAAAGAAAGAGAAAGATGTACTTTGTCGCCTTTATTCAAAGCACACAAAAATGTCGGTTTCGTTCAAAATTGAGATACGACATATTAGAATTAAGGCGACGATATGTATATCGCTGCTTTCTACAGTAATATAAAGGTAAGTTTACTGATATCTAGCTCCTTTAAGCTAGAAAAGAGTGCATGGGGAATGACGCCAGTTGCCGATATTATAATAGGTATAGTTTTTGAGCCGTGGTAGCTCAGACGGTTAACGCTCGCTGTAAATATAACAGAACGCCAGTAGCCCAGGTTCGAGCTCCGCCTTCACCAATGAAATTGTTAATTGCAATTTTAAGTGCTGATTTACCACGTGCTCGGCGGCGAATGAAAACATCGTGAGGAAACCTGCATGTCAGAGGAATAAGGAAAACAAATATTTGGAAGACATGTGAAGTTCGTCAACACGCATTGGGGCTGCGCGGCGGACACTTCCTTGCCCTAAAACCCACTCAGAAATGAGGGGAGGCCTGTGCCCAGCAATGGGACATATGTAGCTTTACTATTACTTTTATAGTTTTTACAGTTTTTACTTTCCATTGGAATATTATTTTGATGGATAAATCAGTGTATTTGGCTATATTTTCACTGTAGGTGGAGGTCAAATTGTGATTATTTGGTATAGATATCTATAAGATAAACTGATTCATTTCTTTTGTAATGTAGCGTAATATGCGGTCGAATATAATGTTTCCTGCCGGGTTCCAAGCGTCAGGACGCCGATAGGTTAGGTAATTTCTTTTTACAGTGAAAATAATGGTAATTAAAAAAAAACATAAGCCCTGCTTTTTAGTTAGTTCAGTTAGTATGCAAAGTTTCATGATCTTATTTAAAGTATTTTATGAATAACAGCGGTTTATTGTTCAGTTTGGAGGTAACTTTGGATTTTTTTCTATCGAGAAAATTTTACGGAATCATGTTTTCGTCTAACATAGTACTTAACATTAATCCTCAACTTTACCATATATTTATTTCAAAATTTATGCTGCAATATTTTCGGCATAACGGAGGATCTTGCTAAGCCATTTGAGGTTATATTTCCCCTTAATATAGTTCTGTCCCAGTAGGGTTCGAATTCACGAGAGTCGAGAATGGTTTCGGGTTTGCATTTATAATAATATGCATTTTTTTATCTGTAAGTTTGTATTTATATGCGAGGTACTGATGAATGATGGCAGCTACTTGGTTGTGTCTATGTTTATAGTCGGTCTGTGTTATTGAGCTGCAGGCACCAGTGATATGCTGAATGGTTTCTGAACTATTATAACAATGTCTGCAAAGGTCTGAATGTGGTCTTTAATTATGTATTTCCTGTAGTTTAGTGTGTGTACAGTTTGGTCCTGAATTGCTAACATAAAGCCTTCCGTTTCAGGGAAGAGTTCTCCGCGCCTGAGCCACATGTTAGACGCTATCTTGTCTACGTTTGTGTTCATCAAGTCACGACGGTGTCTTTCATGTATCCTCCCTCTTCTGCAACCAGCTGTTAATTTTATCCTTTGCAGAGATAATACTTTTACTTTTCTGTTTCCTTTGTTTTTATTATCCGGGGTATTCATAGATTATTCTCATCTGTTTGGGTTGAATAAATATATAAAAGGAAATGAGAAATATACATAAATATATATCTAATATACGAACATAAATAAACAAATAATATATAAGTAAATAAAAGCACAACCAGATGGCAGCCCTCGGCAGGGGAGACCAAACGGCCGAGGGTTAGGGGGAAAAGGAAAGAAACCTATAATTATTATTATTATATACTTTATTGTACACCACAAAAACGATTAAAAACTCAGATTACAGGGAGTGAAACTTAAGGGGTAGGTACAGTAAGGCGGTCTTATCGCTAAAAAGCATCTCATCTCTTCCAGACAACCGAGAAAATAGTAGTATTGGACAGTGGGAGGTGGTGTGTATTACAGTAACCTTACATACTTAATACCTAAACAAACTAAACCGATACATAAAAAATATTTAAGACACTAATAAAAGAGCTTACAAATAATTGTCTATATTAATTAGAATCTTTTAAAAGTATTTAATTTTTTGGGGTCTATTACAATCGCCTAACATTGCATTACAATTGGTAGTTACATCATGAGAAATCACATGAATGGTCATCAACACGATGCGGCCATTGCAATTACATATAGTGTTTTTCTGCGTCCGAATCTACGACCCACTTGCGAAATGGTAAAGTACTTCTAACGGCAAGAAGAGCCATGGTAGCTCAGAGGGTAAGTGCCTGCCGTAAATTTCGCAGTATGCGAACTGCCCGGGTTCGATCAGCACCGGCATCAACGATTTTGTTAATTGAAATTTTGAGTGCCGATTTACCACGTGCTCAGTGGTAAAGGAAAACATCCTAAGGAAATCTAAAGGTCTGAGGAATAAAAATATTTCGAAGAAATCTGAAGAGTCGCCCAACACATCAACACAACAACACAAACCCTCTCAGAAATGAGGGGAGGACTGTATGGAGGACTTTAACTTTAACTTCAAATAAGTGCTCCCAACTCTAGCTACCTATTAGAAATGAATTTTTCCTCTGCGTAACTTCATAGCGGTCATTAACTCATTTATGAGTTAATGACCGCTATGAAGCTATGACCTATATAACACCACAATTACAAATTAGTTAAACACTTGTTATTTGCTATAGTAAAATATCATATAAATGCGTCTGAGAAATATAATATACACACCTCTAATTAGGCATAATCCAAGAGCTCACATAAAGTTAATGCAAAATTTAAAAAGTTTCTAAGCTTCAAAATATTAGGTTCTGTGCTCGGTATCCCATATAGTTTTAATGTATTTTCAGCGATTTCTCGTCACTGTATAACTATTTATTTCGTGTTATTCGTGTTAAAGTACAACAATTATCAAATACAAAATAATTTTACGAATTTTATCGCGTTTAATGCAAAACACACGTAACGTTGGTAATTAAATAATAATCAAAACGACTAAATAATGCGAAAAAACTTTTAAAATGTTTATGAATAAATTAGCGATCCACACGGGTTTCCTGGTCCCGACAACAACAGACAACAGCATACCAAACAACTACCAAACAGAAAATAGACAAGCCCAAATATGGCTGAGAACTATTCAGCTATCCCCATATCCTATAGAACACAATACACACAATATTTCTCTTTCTTCAATTCGCTGTAATCTCTACCGTAGAATACTATAATACATACATAATAGAACATACATAATAGGGAGTGGGTGGAACCCGTGTAGTCACTAAAATGTCACTAACATGTCAATTCACACGTATAAATGTCAACACGAGATGTGTTTTGACGTTATAATCGTTTACAAATTTCGCATGCAAATTACTTAGAAAATGCCCAATTGCACATTATTTACAAATAAATATGTATTGAAATTTAAACGATTTTTTAATGATGATCTTGAACATTAATCAAAAGTCCAAAATGTGTAAATTTACTCAGTTTGTCAACACAGCGAATCGGATTTGTAGTAGTGATAATACGACGTAATAGCTTGTATGTGTGCTCCGGCGACGCCGATCCTCGTACAAAATAAGGTTGACAGTCTTTTTATTGTGTATTATATTATTCTATGATCTCTACACTTGGTTGGCAGTTTGGCAATCACAGCACGTTTTGCGCCTTTAATGATTCTCTATGTCGCCGGTCTGGATTTTTTCAAATAATTTATCTTAGGGCTAATTTTTCAATTATCTGATAAAAAATTTTCATAGGATAAAATACAACCTGAACAAATTTAAAATAAAAGCAGTTGTATTGATACTTGTTTAACTGTGTGACTTTTATATTAAGTTATTTTATAATTTTTAAAATTATGTTATAATTTATTTGATGGAAAACATATCTAACGATTGATTAATCTCTGCTCTGCACCGAGAAATAATTTCACGTAATTAATGACATCTCAGTCTAAACTGTATATTTTATAGGCCTTATTCCGTTACGCATGCATAATGTTATTGTAAAGTGTATCATGAATTCACTAGACGCTAAATATGTCATCATAATTTAGTATTCTGCAAGTAGACAAATAACTGCAAACTAGTGATACAAGTTTTATCGTTTAATACTATCGTCACGGTTTGCTTTGCTATTTGCTTTAACCTATTTGAAATTCTGTTTTTTGTTAAGGGCTCTTATTGAACGATAACAATCGAACAATAAGATTTGTAGATTTAATGCATTTTATACATAACATAATTTTTGAATGGTGTTGTAAAGGTAAATATAAAATAAGCCTACTTTGTTTTCACAGCTGAGCACAGGCCTCGTGTCATTCCTGAGAGGGTTTTTAGGATGGACTTCACACATCCTCTACTTTTTTCAATTTCTCATACGTTTCGATTCCCAAACGATGTTTCCTTTTACCACCATGTAGGAAGTTTTTTTTATAGAATTAGGGTGACAAACGAGCACACAGCACACCTGATGGTAAGTGGATGCTGTGGCCCATAGACATATTTAACCTCGATTAAGAATCAAAATGCAGATGCGTTGTCACTCCTGAGGACTTAGATTCCAGTAAAACGAGTCTCCGGTTCTCTACACT